ATGGAGCAAGTTGGAGGGACTAATCCACCCCGTTGTTTCTGCTTGATTGAGGCCAAAGCCACAGCTCAGACGAACAGGCTTCTCAGCAAACCCCATCCAGGATTCGTGCCATGTGGGATGCTTATTTAAAGTGAGCTCGTCGACCTGCCATCATGTCAGATTTCTTCCCTACCAGCATCATTCATTTGTGGACAGTGGACGTTGATCGCACATTGAACCAACCCCAGCCGACCGATTGTCCTTCCTTACCTCACCATCATTTAACATCTTTTCACCATGAAGCTTTCCCTTCTCTCCCTTGCCACCCTGGCTTCCGCTGCCAGCCTCCAGCGCCGCAGCGACTTCTGCGGTCAGTGGGATACCGCCACCGCCGGTGACTTCACCCTGTACAACGACCTTTGGGGCGAGAGCGCCGGCACCGGCTCCCAGTGCACTGGAGTCGACTCCTACAGCGGCGACACCATCGCTTGGCACACCAGCTGGTCCTGGTCCGGAGGTAGCAGCAGCGTCAAGAGCTATGCCAACGCCGCTCTGACCTTCACCCCCACCCAGCTGAACTGCATCTCCAGCATTCCTACCACCTGGAAGTGGTCGTAAGTGGCTTGCTTTGTCCCGAGCGGGGGAGAGACGCAACTGACCCGAATGGATAGATACTCCGGCTCGAGCATCGTTGCCGACGTCGCTTACGACACATTCCTGGCCGAAACCGCCAGCGGCTCGTCCAAGTACGAGATCATGGTCTGGCTCGCGGCCTTGGGCGGTGCTGGCCCCATCTCGTCGACCGGATCGACCATCGCCACCCCGACGATTGCCGGCGTCAACTGGAAGCTGTACTCCGGCCCCAACGGTGACACCACCGTCTACAGCTTCGTCGCTGACTCGACCACCGAGAGCTTCTCCGGTGACCTGAACGACTTCTTCACCTACCTGGTTGACAACGAGGGCGTGTCGGATGAGCTGTACCTGACCACCCTCGAGGCGGGTACCGAGCCCTTCACTGGCTCCAACGCCAAGTTGACCGTCTCCGAGTACAGCATCTCCATTGAGTAAATCAAACGTTGAGTGTTACGGATGGCCGACCGTGTTGCGTGGACGGAGGCCTGACGGGAGACGGGTGGGGATGGTGGTGGGAGAGAATGTAGGCGCCGTGTTTCAGTCCCTAGGCAGGATACCGGAAAACCGTGTGGTAGGAGGTTTATAGGTTTCCAGGAGACGCTGTATAGGGACAAATGAGACTGAACGGTGGCTACACTCAAACCAACCAGATCCTGTACATACAATGCATATACAATTATTCCTACCAACATACATACAACTATGGTCCAAATATATCTACAAGTCTACTAGTTACTACTTAGGCGGTTGGATCGAGTGTCATTGCTTCAGTTGTTTCGATTCTTCAACATCATCTAATTATAACTAACTTGCATCTGGCATGGCGATAAGAATAGCAGCATCAGACATCGGGCGGGCGCTTAAGTACGGCAGGGGCAGGTGCAGGTGCAGCAACTAACTAATTAGTGCAGCCGACGGCGTCATTTGGATCGTAACTAGTAATTGAGTACCTGGGTACTGTACGTACTTTCTTACCTAGTACCTAACTTATCTATCTCAGCTACTCCGTACACTTCAAGACACTTCCGCTCCTGGTAATGGACGGACAACCCTGAGCTCATTGGAATGACAGCCCTTCGTTGGCGCTCCTGTCTAGGCCATTCCCGACATTACCTAGGTATCAAGTACTCGAGTCTTCGACTGTCCACCAGTCAGTCGGATCTTTACGCGTGCCAGGATCGTGGCGTCGACGCGCTGACCTGCCAACCCTTGATTCCTGCATCTCGTGGCTGCTCCAATCATTGCCGCATTTCAGGCTCGCGCGCGCCAAACCCCCGACGATCGGCCCTGCGTGAGCCATGCAGCCCATCATGGATGACCATTCAACACTCTGTTGCAGGAGAAGAAATCAGTCATTCATCCACTCATCCCATTTCCCCCTCATGCATACTCTGCGCGTCGCCGTCCTTGCAGCGCCAGCCTTTTTTTTCGTTGCGCGCATACTCTGTCTCCTCTCCTCAACTAAACCCACCCACCCCCTCTTCTATCCTGCACCACCACCACCACCCTAGGGCTTTTCCTTATATCAAGCCCTCTTCGCTGGACGGTTCAAGGTGCTCTCTTTTTTCGATATCGTCAACAGTTCCATTCCTTTTTTCCAACCGGGGTTTCACCACTACTACCTAAATTAATCTCATCGTCTCAGTCGGTCTCTCTCTTTTACACTTTTCCTCCAAATACTTCCGGCATCCACTTGGTGTCTCAAAGCGTGTCTCAGTCCCGGTCACCCATCGCACCCCCATAGCGATCGCTCCCCAACTACAGTTGACGCGACAACCACGCATTCCTCTCCTGCCGGCAGGACTGACGTACATTCATTCAACTACTCTAATATATCCTCGACCATATCCGAGTCGACTGTATTGCTTGCCACACCAAATAGTGTTCCTGTTTCTCTCCCTTTCCTCTGCTCTGCACGGTCTTCTCCACGATGACCGCTCATCCCTACCTAGCCTACTCCAACAGCACCCCCAACATGGTTTCCGCTGCAGCGACGACGACCACGAGCACGACCGTGGATCTCAATCGGGCAGCTCTACATGAATTCATCATGCAGCCGGTGTCGCGGGGGATGGTTGCGCACTTGGCCGAGCAGGCCTCCCAGGTCATCCGCTGCGAACCGCATGTGACGGCACAACATGCCCACGGACAGCCGACACCTCCCAGCACACCTCCCATGGATGCGACTTTACCACCACTCCCCTCAGTAGAGACGTTCATTGCTTCCCTGGTTGCTCGATCACAGGTTCAGGTGCCCACCTTGATGACCTCGCTGGTCTATCTGGCCCGACTGCGGTCCCGCTTGCCTCCAGTGGCCAAGGGCATGCGTTGTACCGTTCATCGCATCTTCCTCGCTTCGCTCATCCTTGCAGCCAAGAATCTGAACGACTCAAGCCCCAAGAACAAGCACTGGGCCCGGTACACGGCCGTCAAGGGCTACGACGGATTCGCGTTCCCTCTGCCCGAGGTCAACCTCATGGAGCGCCAGCTCCTGTTCCTGCTTGACTGGGACACTCGGGTTACTGAAGCCGACCTGCTGCAGCACCTAGAGCCATTCCTGGCCCCGATCCGCAGTCGCTACCAGCAACAGCAGCAGCAACAGCAACAGCGCGAAGTTGAGCGTCGCCAGTCCCGAGATTGGCGTCGCTTCCACTCCTCCACGGATTTGCTGACTTCCCGCCTGCGCCGTCAGAAATTGGATGCTCGTCGACAAGTGGTGGATTCCGCCTATCAGCAATCCGAGCGACGGATGATGGCAGCCAGCCCGGCCTCATCGGTGTCTCTGTCATCCCTGTCTTCTGCATCGTCCGTTGCAAGCTCACAGAGCGCCTCTCCCGCCCCCTCGCTAATTGATGCTGCGGCCGACCGGTATCACCCATACCCGACTGGCCGCCGGCGTCCTCTATCCCGTGGTCGGATGTCGGGCTCTCCTCCGGGCGTGCAGGATGTGCCCGGATTGTCACGAGCCGATACTGCGGCTTCTTTGAGCTCGCGGGCGTCCAGCCTGTCCTCCAGTTCACGCGCTGTCACTCCTGCAAGTCTCCGGAATTCCAGCTCGATCACCAGCTTTGAAGAGGTCGCGTCCGTCCGCGTGCTGGACGGTGGCCGCAGCCCGTCATCATTTGTTGGTGACGGGTTGCCACTCGAGGAGTGCCTGCCGCCCGCGCAGCCCAGCAAGAAGATGCGTCTCGGCTATTCTGGACACGCAGCTCATCCCCACGGCCCCGCCCACCCGGTCGCCGCTGGCGGTCATGGGTTCGTGGCCCGCTTTCTCGCCACGGCCGCGGGGTCGTACATGGGCGGTCGTCGACACTAAACTTAGATCTCATTGAGCTGGTCTCGATGGTTCCTCCTACTCTGTTACATGATGATGTCTTAATGTTTTGTTCCGATCATTGATTTGCGAAAAGCACTTGGGGGGGTTGCTCACCTGCCCCTGTTACGAACGATCTTTCAATACCCTGACACTCTTTACCTTTCTGCATTCCGCTGGCGTTGATCGTGTTCCTGTTCATGGAAGTTGTATTTCTTTTTGGGCAAGAGGTTCTGGCAATTATTTTTGGGGTATGTATCTTGGCATTTGGTGTTTCAGAATGGATATGCAGGGCTGGATGGATATATACTCTGATTGAATCAGTTATGGAGTGAGTAGTTTAATTTGACCGTATACTTAGCTATTTAGTCACGAATATAATGGACAACTAGGTTGGATCCATGAGAAATAATGAAATCCCCGAAAGCGGCTATTTGTGGCTGTGCCTGTTTGGGCAACTCGTACTTTTCCCCCCCCCAAGTTGCCCTCGCCAAGGCACTTCAACCATGGAGGGTGACCGGAAATAGCACAGCGCGGGCCAATGAACACGGGCCCGACCGAGACCAGCCAAGAGACCCGGGGTCGGATCGGCTTGGCGGGCACTCGGAGATGTCTTCCTCATGAGATAACAATCCGGCGGTTGTCCTTCCCCGTCAGCCACTTTTTGTGACCATTTAATCAGAAAAAAGCAGAAGATAGGGTCAATCGAAATGACAATCTATCTTATAATCTAATTTTCTAGTCTACTCAGTATTGACCTTTGAACTTCGATGTCTCCACGCTCGAGCCCTTCTCGGATCGGCTTGACACACGCCAATCACCGAAGCCGGAGGTGGAGCGCCGAGCAGCTGGGCTGGCGTCATCGCCTCCAGGCTGCGTCCGCCGAGCCCAAAGGGCTGACCCAATCCAACGAGTCTGCTTCCGGCCCGGTGTCAACATGCTTTGATTATCATCTTCCTTCTCCCCTCCCCCTCCCTCCACTTCCCATCCTTCGCATATCCCCCCCCATTCTCACTCCCCCTCTCTACCATAATCCCTGCAAACTATTTACTTCATCCATAACTATAGGCCCAACTCTTTATCTCTCTTTCTATTTTCTCCAACTTCACCTCGTCCCCCTCTCTCCTTCTCCTTCCTTCCTTTGTTCTCGCTTTCTCGACCGAAGACGCCTTATCTAATCAGACAATATTCTTGACTCACTCACTATGCCCCTCACCATCCTCTCCCAAGAGCAACTCCGTTCTCTCCTCCTCTCGCTCTCCCGCGACCAGATTGTCTCCCTCCAGGAGAACCTTGCCCGTGCGCTTCGTGACTATTCGACCGGCAGTCAAGAGAAAGGGTGTGCCGCCACTTACCAACCTCAACGCACGGCTATCACTCGGCCCGATGGCTGCACCACCGTGTTCATGCCCGCAAGCACGGGCCCCACGCTAGGAATGAAGGTGATTTCGCTACAAGACAAGAATTCCCAGGTGGGCTGTACTGTCGATGCTGCCTCGAAGATTTCCCCGAGCGACCGAACCGGCGTTTCTCAAATCGACAAGCGCAAATCCATGGCCTCGATTGCCTCCGACGTCAGCGAACTCTCCCTCTCCTCGCAAGAAGGCACCTCAACCAGCAACTCCCTGACCATGACGAGCAGTGGTGGCAGTGGCAGTGGCAGTAGCAGCAGCAAGTCGCTGGCGGCGGGCTGCGTCAACCAACAACCGGTCGCAGGCGGCTTATCGAAGACGATGGGGGCCTGGCCCAGTGCTGGCAGTCGGGATACCTCGCCCCAGGGAAGCGTCACGCTGCTGGACGGCAACAGCCTGCCCTTCGGATTGATCAACGCACACGAATTGACGCCCTTCCGGACCGCTCTGACCTCCCTCATGACGCTCAACAAGCGCAAGCGGGTGCGGACCATTGTGGTGTTCGGGGCGGGGAAGCAGGCATACTGGCACATCCGGCTAGCGCTGGTCCTCCGTAGCGCGGACGTCAAGCGGGTCTACATCATCAACCGATCGTTTGACCGAGCGGCGCAGTTGCTCCGGGACATCTACTCCCCGGAGAACTCGAGCTGGCGCGGGGATGTGAAATTCTCCGCCGTCAGCTCCGACTTTGTGGAGTATCCCCGCATCCTGCATGACGCGTTGCGGAAAGCCGACGCGATCTTCTGCTGCACCCCGGCCGTTGATCCGCTGTTCCCCGCCGAGATTTTGACGGCCCGTGAAGGCCGCCAGAAGGGTCGGCTGATCAGCGCGATTGGATCGTACAAACCGCACATGACGGAACTCCCACCGGATCTGCTCCGCGACGAAGTGAGCGTGCACACTCCGGGTCATCGTCACTTCCACAAGCACATCAAGCGCAGCGGCGTGGTGGTGGTGGACAGTCTTGACGCCGCCCTCAAGGAGGCAGGTGAGATTGTCCAAGCGGGGATCAAGCCGCACCAGGTGGTCGAACTGGGTGAACTGTTGATTGTGCGCGAATCCTCGCATGGGGACGCTGACAGTGACGATCACAAGAGTCTGCGCGAGTGGGTAGAACGGGGCAATGTGATTTTCAAGAGCGTGGGGATGGGATTGATGGACTTGGTGACTGGCGGAGATTTGATCCAATTGGCACGTGAGAAAAATATTGGTACGACGATTGCGGAATTCTAGCGAAATGATATCCAATGATAACTTGGTTTGCTGTTTGTTTATTTTCCATTGTTTTTTTTTTTTTTTTTTTTTTTTTTTTTTTTTTTTTTTTTTTTTTTTAAGTTAGCTGTCTTGAGTCAGCCTGGATAGTTACTACTTTGGTTCGGCATCGGTGACCTTGACTCCTCCGAAGGTGTTCGGGACTTATACTTCTTGGGCATTACTTTGCGAGACCTTGGTCTTGTCTCCCCTTCTCTGTTTCATATCATTAATTAGTAGGTAGCGATTATACTTTCATGCTGACAATACCATGTGTTCTACTGGCCAGTTCCTTGCAGAGCAGACTTTTTTAGGCTCTTTAGGCTCTTTACAGGGCAATACTCGAGTGAAGCACTGATATCCAGACAGAGAGTGGATAGATGGAGGAGAAGATTGGTAATGCGCTGCTTGTCATACGGCGGGAGGGCGACACAGACCTCCATTTGGCTGGTCAATGCGGTTAGAGCCGTAATTTTGGAGCCGTGGGCGGTAATTTGGAACGAAGGCTGTAATCCCGCTGATGACATCAACCAACCTCGTCGTTTCTTATCGTCTCAACTCTTTCTCCGCGAGACATCCTCTCTCTTTCCCTCTCTTCGCCCTTTCCGGCTTCAATTCATCGTCACAACTCGACTTGATCCTTCACTGCCGTGTATTATAATGCACGGCGTATTCTCTCCAGGCTGGACAATGTCGCAGAGCGATTGCCAGCAACCCTGATTGGGAATCGCAGTGTTGGGGCCAAGACACGACTGCGAGGCTGATAGCGGCCGTTCACCGACGGCGCGATCGCCAGCGGGGGGAGAGGAGGGGCAGCGACGCATCATCCCACCGTCTGTCCGCCTTAGTTTCCCCTCAGTCTCGTGCTTGTATTTTATTTACTTTTTAAAAACCCCGTCTTTCTCGTTCCTTATTTCTTGACTCATATCTTCTTCATCCCACTGTATGTAGATCGCTGTTTCCTACGGGCTTTGGCTTTTCAAGATGCGCAATCGCATGTGCCACCTGCCCAACGGGCAGACCTTCACCGTGTCACCCGTCTTTGGCGGGGTTAGCTTCAAGTCGAACGATGGTCAACAGAACCACCATGTGGTTCTCCCCGGTTGGAGCATCGTTCTGAATACCAGCAAACCCGTTGAGAATGCTGATGCAACAACGACCGATGGATCGGAGGAGCATCGCGGCCGGGATCGACAATCGCCAGAGGAGCTGGTGAACACCCGATTTACTACCCCTACCCTGCGCAATGACTCGCTCTACATCTCATACATTGTCGATCCGCCCAGCAGCGAGTACAAGCCGGTCAGCTCACCCACGCGCCAGATCGCCATGATGCTCTGGGTGACGCTCTGGTGGTACTTCCACGAACCCGAGCCCGAGCGTTACTTGACCACCGAGGCCAGCGCCAAAACTCCCACCACGGGCCGGCCCCAGGGCGACTGGCGTATCTCCATCCGGCGCGAAGGGTTTTTCAAGGGTCGCACATTGCTGCAGAAGCTCGAGCGCATGGGTCTGATCGCCTCGGAGGACTCCTCGGTCGGGACCGAACCCTACAACCCCGAGGCGTGGGCGCGCATGTTCGTGAGCCGTCGCAGCTTCTGGCAGATTGATCCCAGGCTGTTCGTGTTCACTCTGACCCCCCAGATGAATATCCCGCCGGCGATATCGGGCTCGCCCTTCATCCAGCGGGTCGCATCGCCGTCGCGCGCGAGTATGTACCTCAATAATCCGGCTGGGCAGGAGACCGCCCACTATACCCCGAACGAAGGGCCGTTCGCTTCGACCAGCCATCTCCCCACCTACTTCCCCCCAGCCCCGACACAGTATACCTTCACCAATGGGATCCGCCATCCGATCCGTCCCAAACCCCCGCACCAAGGGGATGTGTTCTATATTCGCTACATTCCCAGCCTGCAACAGTACCTGTCCTTCCGCGTACCGTACTTGGGAAGCTCCGCGGCCGAACAATTCGGGGCCAAGCACGCTCACACTTCATCTAACAGTAGCATCGAACAACCGGTGACCCCTGTACCAGGGCCTTCCGATGTCGAATTGCTGCACAAATGGATGAACGAGCCGCGAGTCAACGTCGCTTGGGGCGAGGCAGGCCCAGTCAGTCACCAAGAGGAGTTTCTGCGCAACAATCTCCGAAGTCGTCACAGTTTCCCCGTCATTGGTTGCTGGGACGGTAAGCCGTTCGGCTACTTCGAGATCTACTGGGTCAAGGAAGACCGGCTGGGGTCGTTGGCCCCGGGGGGTGTGGACAACTATGATCGGGGTCTACATGTGTTGGTGGGTGAACAGGAGTTTCGCGGGCCGCATCGTGTAGCCGTCTGGTTGAGTGCCTTGGTGCATTATTGCTTCTTGGCCGATCCCCGGACGCAGACAGTGATGTTGGAGCCTAGAGTGGACAATGAAAAGTAGGGGTTCCATCGCCTGCTTCACAGAGGCATTAAGCTAACATGATTGATATAGGCTGATCGGATACCTACACCGAGCGGGCTTCTACAAGGAAGGGGAGGTGACGTTCCCGCACAAGCAGTCTGCTTTGATGAAGATCAAGCGGGACGCATGGGAGAGTCCTGCTACCTAGCAATGTGCTTCATGATGGATGCGATCTCGAAAAGGAAACGATACACGAGGAGAGTTCTCCATGATACCTGATCAATGTCTACGACAAGGTAGATTTTGCCTACCTATTTACGACCTACCTAGCTACCTAGTAATGAAACCGGGAACGCGAGAGCATAACGAACGCGATATTTCCATGGGATGTAGACATACCGCTGCCTTTCTACCCTCGTGGGCCGTGACCAGTCTGCGACTTCTTGACCGACTAAGCTTTCACCGATTGCCCATCATTGATTAGGGCTCCACTCTTGAACGTCTCCCAGTCTCCCACCCAAATAGAACCCAGAGTTTCAGTTCCTTATCATGACAGGACATCTGCACAGACCGACACGGCAACTGAAAGTTTACAGAGAAACTAGCTGCATGGCCATCACGGCCAGTCAGTTCCCCGCTCACGCGCGGGATGTGACTAGCTGGTCACTAAATGTGCCGGGGCCTGCAGGGCGGGCGCGTATGCGGCCAACGATAGCGGGGGATTGCCCTCATCCCCATCACCATCACCACTTGGCACTGCTCCTCCTCCTCCAATTCTTCACGCCATCACATCCAATCACTCGGGACGTTCTTTTAATAAAGGGTATCGCCTGTTCCCTGTCGTATCTCAAACATGAAGGGCGGCCTCGTTCCCGATTTTGTTTTTTCGTTCTTCACATCACTCCACATGAAGATGGTCAATACATGATCCATCACCTTCCCCTCCACCGCTTGATCTGTGATATTCAAATAGACACTCGGTTCCTGTCCAGGGTGACTTAGGAGGCAAAGAATGGTCTCCAGTACTGGCAGCCTCGTCTTCTTTCTTTGTCTCTCTTTCTACTCAACAACCGCTGCTGGTTCAGCATCACCTGTCTTCGAGCGAGACACCACTACCACCACCACCACCTTCACCCTCGACGAACCACTGCTCGCCGTCCAAATCGGCGGGATCATCGCCGCCTATCTCTTCAGCGTCATCTTCCTTCTGAGCCTCCTCCTTGTCGTCGGACGCCGTCTACGTCGCGCCGTCCTCTCCTCCAACTACTCCCTCCAAGTCCAGATGATGCAGCCCATGAAACCACCCCCAAGCATGGACCCCAGCCCCGTCACCCCGATCAGTGTCCACCTCCCCAGCCCCGGGGGAATCGGCCATGGCCCAATCCCTCCGATGCCCGGATATACCACCAACACTGGCACCCGTCACAGCAACAACCGCTCCTGGAGCAGCTTCAGCAAACACAGCGGCTCGCACAAGAAGTCGCAATCCCAGCTCTCCAACCCGAGCAGCAGCATCAGCCTGGCGACCATCAACGACGGCGCCGTCGCCTCCGACCGCCGCAAAGCCCAGGAGGACCTGGAGATGCTGTATGCGGCCGTGATGGAGCATGACGAGATCAAGGCAGCCAACGGCGGCGGCGGCAGCGGCAGCCCGCAAGACCGCAACGTCTCGCCCACGGGTACAGTGAACAGCAACCCATTCACCGACCCGCCGGTAGCGCCCGTGCAGGCGCCAACATCGCCTCGCACACCGTCCCGCCTATCGCGGATTTCATCATCATTGTCGCTGTTTTCAAGCAGCCGCGACCAGTCGTCCACCTCGCTCGCCAATCCCGGGGCTGCAGCTATTTCCTCCCCCAAGGGACCCAACGGAAGCGGACGGGGCCTGGGCCTCCGCTCGCCGCGTCTGGCGCTGCCTCTGCGGAAGATGTCCATCTCCTCGCCGATTACTTCACCCCGGAATCATGCTGCGCGAGAGAACGAGGAGGAGGACGATCCGTACGCGCATTCGCCGTTGACGCCGAGGATCTATCACCCGGCGCCGCCGCCAGTTCCGCCATTGCCGGCGCAGATGCAGCCGCAGGTGAGAAATATCGGGGGTGGTGGTGGTGGTGCACAAAGACCCGGCGCACAGAGACAATTCACCCACCCACCACCGCAGCAGGAGCAGCAGTATCACCAATACCAGTATCAGCACCAAGACCCATACCACACAGACGACCTCCCGCAATCCCAGACCGGTCTTCCGCCGCTCCCCATCCCACGAGGAATCCTTTCCTCCACCACCCCCGAATCCCTCGACGCAACGAATCCCCGCAGACCAGCCCGCAACGCTCCTCCTCCACTCACACTGAGCAAACCCCTTCCCCCAACAGCCGCAGCGGCAGGCGGCCCCGACGGACCCGGTCGCAGCCTGCCCCTCCGCGACGCCTACCCGCTGCAGAGCGCCCCGGCCACCAAGCTGACCGTCCTGGAGCGGCCGGTCAAACCCCACGGGGCCCCACGCACGGGCATCCCCACCCCGTACAGCCCCTACATGCCGTTCACGCCTGTGACGCCGCTGACGCCGAGTCGGATGGTCACGAAGCGGCAGCGGCGGAAGGAGGGGAAGGAGACCGGGTTGCATGTGTTGAGGGAGGATGATATGGTCAAGGGCGGTGGGGATCTGTGGGGGTATTAGCCCTCACTTTTTGGGGGGGGGGGGGGGGGTTGGATATATAGTGTCCGGGTATGAGTTATGATTACTATGGAGTTTTCTTTACAGCTTGGGGATGGGGATACTTGAATCCGGACATCACTTTCTAAGAGACTACCGTGCCACAGACTTGGATTCAGCTGGTGCTGTAAATTGATTTCTATATCTTCCTCCGTTGTCTTCGTTTAGCCTGTTCTGGGAACTGAGGCTTAATATATATTGGTTTCTTGGAGTTGGTTGGTATTCAGTGGTTGTTAGCTTGGTGGTTATAGTAGAGTCGGATACAAGTCGAGGTAGTAGCTGCGATGCAGAATTTGATGGTGAAGTCTACTTAGGGAATGTGGCTTGACTCAGTAGGCTGTTTACAAGGGGATGGTGGTGGAAGCGGCAAATATATAACAGATCTAGACTGCGGGCATAGCTTACCAGGAGAGATGAAAGGGCTAACTACATTAGGCTAGCTAGGTATGGGATGATGGGACGATATACGCTGAGTGTAGATAGTGAGTGTTCTCTGATTCGACCACTTGTGAAAAGTTCATCGGGGTAAGATTATGAAATCATTTTGAGCATTGATGCAATTGTTGGACCCTCCTAGCCGGCTAACTAATTGTCAACTTGCTAGAACTTCACTTGGTTATTGCAGGCTATGATGTTAAGAACATGGTTCGGATAGTATTGGCTGAGTATAGAGAGAGCCATATTAGGTGGGTTTTGTGAATTGATCAGTCATTCAACTAAATTATTTCCCTCGTTTGTGTACTAGGTAGACCGGTAGAGGTATGTGTAGTTATAGTTAGTAGGCAGGGCAGTGCCCAAGTTAGTGGTTACTGCAAATCACCAAGTCCCTAGAAGCCTGAGGTGCTGCCTTGTTGCCTGAGTTAACCTGAAATTTCAATGGTCCCGTGACCCATTTCGTGCCTCAGGCCACATGGGCGCCCACCACTTCATTGGCCCGGGTGGGGCTCGCCTAATTTCCTAGCGTCCCACACACAAGGTCGCTGAACGGTTGAAGAGATCTTGCTTCTCGAACTTCTCACTCGTGACAACGACGACAATCGACGACCTGCCACGCCGACAAGGTACGTTCCTGCCTCCAATCTCGCCCGCAATCCCATCGCGACCGTCACAATCGCATCGACATCCAATCCACCACAAGACTAACGACTTTTCCAAACCGTCCAGATGGGTGCCCTCAAGTACGTGGAAGAGATCCAGAAGAAGAAGCAGTCCGACGTGATCCGCTTCCTGCTGCGTGTCCGTTGCTGGGAGGTGAGAATTCCCCCCCAAATGTCGATGATTTAACATCTCCCCGCCGGAGGGTGGTTTTCGCTCGTATGCTATGCCATAGGAATACACTTGTTTGCTCAACGGTGTTTTTGCTGGGCGGCTCGAAAAAAGACGACCCACCGAAAGAAATTTTTTCTTCTCATCGCCGGCGGATGATGGATGTGGCACAACCAGGAGAGGTTCCAGGAGCCTCTGTGTGTCTTGCTATACACTCGTTGAACTTTGCTGAGAGTGCATCAATATAGCTCCGTCAACTGAACGCCATCCACCGTGCTTCCCGTCCTTCTCGCCCCGACAAGGCTCGTCGTCTCGGCTACAAGGCCAAGCAGGGCTATGTTGTCTACCGTATCCGCGTGAGACGCGGTGGCCGCAAGCGCCCCGTCCCCAAGGGTGCCACCTACGGTATGCTTTTCCCACGACTCGATCCACGAGAGAACACGGCTAATTCAAGGGATGTACAGGCAAGCCCACCAACCAGGGTGTTAACCAGCTCAAGTACCAGCGTGCTCTCCGTGCTACCGCTGAGGAGCGTGTTGGCCGCCGCTGCGCTAACTTGCGCGTCCTGAACTCCTACTGGATCAACCAGGACTCCACCTACAAGTACTTCGAGGTCATCCTCGTCGACCCCCAGCACAAGGCCATCCGCCGCGATGCCCGCATCAACTGGATCTGCAACCCCGTCCACAAGGTTGGTTCTGCCATCGCCCCAGTCTTTGAGTCTGGTACTGACCCATTCCCCAGCACCGCGAGTCCCGTGGTCTCACCGCCACCGGCAAGAAGTCCCGTGGTATCAACAAGGGCCACCGCTACAACAACACCAAGGCTGGCCGCCGCCACACCTGGAAGCTCCAGAACACCCAGAGCTACTGGCGTTACCGTTAAATGTAGCCCAGGGGCTGCAGAGCGGTGTTGTGGAGGGGAGTGTTGGAAATGGAAAACGCATGCTGGAATGCTTGTGGATGTGTTTACTCCGATACAAAAACTCGTTTCTGTGTGCAGGTCATTCTTCGACTGTCGTGGTGCGAGCATAATGCAACAGATCTTCAATGATCGGATGTTAGCAAAAATTTTTCTTCCTTTTCTCGGTTTCATCGGTTTTTTTTATTCCCCCTAACGAAGTATGCTTTTTCTTCTTGCTCTCTTGTTTTTCTTTGGTTTCTTTGGCGGCTTCGTAGTGTAGATTTCGTAGTTTGGGGTTGTAGATTGGGATGGCTGCCTCGATTGGCTAGATTGGAGGACTTGCATTAGCATCCGCAATCCGGGGTGTTGGTTCTCGGCCCAGCAGTAAGATAGTCTTGCACAGTTACTCCCGCAGTCTTCTGGTGACCCATCAGCTACGGACAGCAACTCCAGGGAGGGGCTCAAAATTGCGAGGACCAAGTCTAGGAGGGTCGGCCATGGATCTACATACCGGAGAGAATGGCTGTGCACCTTCACCCCACCAAGTGTCAGAAACCGGCCACCATGATTTCATAGTGATGGTCTCATCGACGGTCATCGGGTTAGCCTGCTACAGGATGTATCAGGTGAGCTCCTCTCGCTGTTCCTCAAAGGCCTTGTCCCTGTGCCCTGGGAATCGTATCTCCTCCCTAAGCACATATAATAGCCGATGCTAAGAAGGCTAAGCCAGCAATTGCCATTGGTGCCTGCAAATTGACCCCTAAGATATCTACAAAAATATAGATAGAACCGACACGAGTCTCTCTCTCTCTCTCTCGCGCGCGCGCGCGCCTCAAACACCCTGGGAATAATCGTGGAAGTCGCCTTCATGCGGCAAATCGTCCCATCCCATCCCGTGTTTGTTCGTAAAAGGGTCAGGTCGGCCAAGCTGATGGATGGACAGGTCTAAGACATGTACGGCGACTTACGGGCGCGCTTCATTTGCAGGATGCGAGCCCGCCCCATCGGACAGCTGGAAAGCTGGAACTAGCCCCGATGGAAGTTCCAAGGAGCTGGTTCAAGTTAAGTTCCCGGTAGTTAGTCCAGTCTACGGAGTCGAAAGGGACAGAAAGTAGGTAAAAATAGTACAGTGCTAGGTAGAGTACTCCCCTCCGTTTAAGTCACCCTCCACCACGCCCCCATTCCGGCGCCTAAAGCAGGACTGACTGATGACTCTATTCATGTCATAGACGTCACAGATTGTAGGGTCGTAGATCCAGATGGAGGTTTAGCAGACAGCCGATAGCTCAGCTGAATGTAGCACTTACAGAGTGGTTGGAAATGGAACCTAATGGTTCCTGGTTTCCTTTTTTAAGGTACTGTACAGTTAGTGAAGTTACCGTACGGTGCTAAGTGAAGGCTCATTACCAAGCGGGGAAGCCTTAGGCAACCCACGTCTTGAGTGACTGGTGACTGTGGTTAAGTTATTATGGCTTGCGCATCCTCTTGCGACTTCCCCCCTCTCTCTCCCCTCCTCCCCCCCCACCGCCGCCTCCCTCCCTCTCCTTTCTCACAATCAAAAGCATATTTCTTGATAACTCCCTTTTCTTGTCCTTCCCTTTCCTCCCCCTACCATCAACTCATCACACCGGTTGTGTTCGCCTGGTGGTGGTGGTTCTGTTTTGTCCCTTTTCTTGTAACTACTTGTACTGTACATGCTCACGTTACATCTTCCCCCCCCCTCACGTTACATATATCCTACTACTCCATAACTACAACCGGTTCAGGCTTCCTCTCGCTCAGTCTTACCTCATCCCCGCCAACGTGGGATAACTCACCCGGTTTTCTTTGGTTTCTTGTGGATTTTTCTTAGTCCTTACTTGCCTCTTCGTGCCTTCGGCAACACAACCCCGATTGATCCTGGATTAAAGAACGGCCTTGCGGCAGGATCGTCCCTCGTTGCCGTCTCGCTTGTGCACGAGTCACTCGCTCCGCCGTTCATCCCCTAAAATCCTACTGCTGTCAATCCTCCGACGATAAGATCCCCTAAATCTCACCTGCTTCAACCTCCAACGCCGTTGTATCCCGCCATCTCCAGATCGTTACGGATCACCGCCCCCTAAAAACCAATGCGCCCCTATGCCGTCGCGGTTCCTACGTAACCCGTCACTCACTCCAGCCGCTGGCCATCCTTCCCTGGTCCCCTTTCCTGCGAATGACGAGAGGAGTACACCTGCCGAGATCGTCCAAGATGCGCCCGACCTGTTCGCCATGACGGGACTTACAGCTACTTCACCCCCAACCCGGCGCGGGCACTCCCGTTCCATCAGCCACCCTTTCCCCGCGCCGTTCGCCGCCGCCGCCGCTGTGGGAAAACGGCGTCCCTCGATCGCGAAGAAGAAGAACGGTCGACCGGGGCTGGATTCAGACGATGACGACTTCCTCGGCTACATGCCCGACCCGAGCTCCTCGTCCCCGCGCAACCGGCCCCCGCAACACGGCGTGATGGCCTCGGGGAAGTGCATGGCCTGCAACTGCACCGTGCGGTGGCCCCGCGATTTGAAGGTGTTTCGGTGCACGGAATGCTTGACGGTCAACGATTTGGAGCCGTACGTGGATGCGGCCAAACCCGGGGGTCATGGTAACTGGGGCGCCGATGGGAAGCCCCGCACCCCCATGGTTTTACGAAAAGGTATGTTTGGTGACAGGGTTCCGGCTTGTGATTGATGCAATCGGCTGACTGGTGTTTCCTTGTAGCGGTACCACTGTCTCTCGACCGGACGAAGGCGTTGCTGGACGACTGCATGACGGAGTACCTTCGGCAACTTCTATACGGAACCGGACCGCGAGCGACCCCAACTAGGAGTCAGCCGGAGAAGCCCCAGGATATCGCGCAGGATGAGAATCTGGCCCACTCGCCGGGCCAGACCGGCGAATACTTGTGTGATCCTCGTGCGACCGGCGACTCGCGCGGGCGAGCTTACTCGAATTCCAAAAAGCCAGGCAAGCTGGATGGCCCGCCAAACTTCTCGAAGCCTAATCTGAGCCCGTACTCATCCCACGGAGAAGGGAAGAGCTCGCCAATGAAGAGTCGAGACACGCAAACTATGCCCCGGCGAGATCGCTCGCCTCGTGAGGTTGGCCAGGGAAACACGTCGGATGCAAAGGAACTGCCGCGCCGCCCGTATATCTTTAGGCTGCTCGAAGACTACATAATAAATTCATTCAAGGGCTGTGATTGCTTGAATAGCTCATTCACCACAGTACAGCACGCGCCTCGCTCCACCAATGATAGCACTCCCCCCAAGCAGAGAGAGGACAAGAGTACTAGCGCGGCGCCCGCGCCCGCGGAACATGTATTTGAGCCGGATGCTAAGCTCCTCCTCCTGGGCGACATAGCAGAAAATTCGTCCTGGTGGATGAACGAGGTGGATCCTACCGTTCAGTCCCATGCCAAAGACCATCGGGAGAAATCCTCTGGTTCTAGAGCCGTCTCCTCTCGGAGCCCCCGTATAGACTGGACGGAGCTTGCGAAATGGTACCACTTGATCATGACTGCCGGCTCTTCATGGGTGGAATTGTGGTCCACGATGAAGCCAGCTGAACTACGTACGGATGGTGACATTGTGGCTGCTCAGAGGTGGGAATCCACTGATTTGGCTATGGTTGAGAAGGAGGTGGTCGAGTCGCGCTTGCACCTGCATCGGACACTGCTCAAGGCGACGGAAAATCTCCTCAAACGGCCCCGACGACCACTCAAAAAGCCAGAAGACATCAGATTTCTCCTGATGCTCTTGGTGAATCCATTGGTGCATCCCTCGAACTCGTCCCTGGCTTCGTACACATTAGCCCCCTCTGCTCCTCGGGGTGATAGGAGGCCTTCCCATCCCGTTCTCGGTAATCCAAGACCCGCTCCTCGGGATATCAAACCTCCCACTCGACTGCGAAGCGGGGGGCCCGGGCATCACCCCGGTATCGTCAAACGAATCATGGGTCTGCTTGCCAATCTGCCAAACGATTGTCACCATTACTTGGTTTCCTGGTTCTCACGCTTCCCCACGGGACAATTTGAGAAAATTGTGGATATTGTGGGTAGTTTTGTGACGTATCGTCTGACTCGGCAGCATGGGCGGAAACGCAGCGAGACCGCGCAACCGGAGGATAGTCTAATACCCAGCTTCTCCAGCGCGGCGGGAAACACACCCGCCGAATTGCATGCCGCCATCAACGGCAGGAGTCCGAACAAGTCGGCCAAGGACGACCGGGACCAGCCCGTGGTCTATACTGATGACTGGCAGATTCGGGCTGCTGCACGGGTGATGTCGCTGCTGTTTACGGCCAACAATGCCACGGTGTCTCGCAAGCCAGATGGACCGGGGACCACTAGCGCTGGTCGATCGCCGAGTGACCGACGAGGCCATATGGTACCGATCAGCTCCTTCTACAACACGCTGCTGGATTATTCCGATCTTGTGGCGGACTTTGAGGCCTGGGAGTCCACGTCGAGCAAGTTCTCGTTCTGCCAGTATCCTTTCTTCCTGAGCATCTGGGCCAAGATCCATATCTTGGAGCATGATGCTCGTCGTCAGATGGAGGTCAAGGCGCGAGAGGCGTTCTTCAATAGCATCCTCAGCCGGAAGGCGATCAGTCAATATTTTGTGCTGAAGGTGCGGCGCGACTGTCTGGTGGAGGACAGCCTTCGAAGAGTCAGTGAGGTCGTTGGATCCAGCCACGAGGAGATCAAGAAGGGGCTGCGGATTGAGTTTGTCGGTGAAGAGGGAGTGGACGCGGGTGGTCTGCGGAAAGAGTGGTTCTTGCTGCTCGTCCGGGAAGTCTTCGATCCCCACCATGGTAGGTTCAGCCTCTTGAGTTCTCAAGGTGAACAAGGACTAACTTGAACGCCGCAGGGTTGTTCATTTATGACGAGGACTCACGATACTGCTACTTCAACCCGTACTGCTTCGAGTCGTCGGAACAGTTCTTCTTAGTCGGGGTTCTGCTGGGATTGGCTATCTACAACTCGACCATTCTCGACATTGCTCTCCCACCCTTTGCCTTCAAGAAGCTTCTGGCGGCGGCCCCGCAGTGGTCGACCAGCCGATCGGTGTATAAGGCTAGCCTGGACGACTTGGCGGAGTTTCGACCTCAGCTCGCGAAAGGGCTCCGGGCCTTGTTGGAATTCGAAGGGGACGTCGCGGAGACCTTCTGCTACGACTTCGTCGCGCAGGTCGACCGGTATGGGGAGGTGGTGCCGGTGCCTCTGTGTGCCGGCGGCGAGGACCGACCGGTGACGAACGCCAACCGGCGGGAGTTTGTGGATCTGTACGTGCAACACCTGCTGGACACGGCGGTGACGCGGCAGTTTGAGCCCTTCAAGCGGGGGTTCTTCACGGTGTGCGGCGGCAACGCGCTGTCCCTGTTCCGGCCGGAGGAGATCGAGCTGCTGGTGCGAGGCTCGGATGAGCCGCTGGACGTGGCCTCGCTCCGGGCGGTAGCGACGTACGAGAACTGGTCAGTGCCGCGGCCGGAAACGGTGCCAGTGGTGCGGTGGTTCTGGGAGATCTTCGGGCAGGCGGCGCCGCAGTCGCAGCGGAAGATTCTGTCGTTTATCACGGGCAGTGATCGGATTCCGGCGATGGGGGCGACGAGTCTGAGTATCCGGCTGGGGTGTTTAGGGGATGACACGTCCCGGTTTCCGACGGCGCGGACCTGCTTCAACCAGTTGGGGTTGTATCGGTACGAGACGCGGGAGAAGCTGGAACGGGTGCTTTGGGATGCGGTGCTGAACAGTGAGGGATTTGGATTGAAGTAAGTAGTGGTGGTAGTGTTTGGTGTGGGGGGGGGGGTGAGAGGGCAGGTCCCGGGTATTGATAGGAAGAATAAAACCATCTTTATCTATCATGATGTATTGATTATAGAAATGTAATTGTTTTGAAGTACTTGGTAGTAGAGTGGATGCTGCTGCTCAGGAGAATCAGATGCATAGTAGTGGCAGTGGATAAGTTTGCAGCCTGAGGCCACCTCCAGGTTTCCCGCATTGCGTTAGTCTCTTGCAGCAGCGAAGATCACACTAACCCGATTTAGGACGAAGAGCGGCCGGCCATCCATATCAATCAAATTTTCCCGGCAAAAAAGCTGCAACAACAACCTCTTATGAAAGTTTGGTGGCTGTATAAAATTCTCCCCACAGCAAACCCCTTTCTAAACTTCCATTCTCTCAATTATCTCAACTATCACCACCTACAGGAAACCATTGTAATATTTTTTGAAAGCCAAACAGTACACCCATACACCCACCCAGTACACACACACACCCCCCCCCCGTAAAAAAAAGGCATGGCAACGAGACCAGCCGGTCCGCCGCCGACCAAAAAACGGCGCCGCGAGCCCGTCAGCGTCGACCGCAAGCAGATTGAGATCTATGAGGACCTGGCCGCCGAGACCGACGCCGTCCGCCTGAAGGCCGCCGCGGCCCTGGTCGCGCAGTTCACCCCGGACCAGAACCCCCCCGCCGAGGCGGTGGACCGCGCCCTGGCGCGGTTGTTCCGCGGGCTGTGCAGTAGTCGCAAAGCGGCGCGCGTGGGGTTCTCGATTGCGTTGACGGAGGTTTTGGTGCAGGTTTTTGGGACGGCTGCCTCCGGGGGTAGTAAGGATGGCGATGGGGGGAAGGAAGAGGGCAAGGGGAAGAGAAACGATGTTGAAGCGGTGTTGGGAGTTTGGGAGCGGTTGACGGATTCGGCGGGCGGGGAGTCGGGGCAGGTTTGTTTCTTCCTTCCTTTTTTGTGATTTCTTTTTGTGGTTCGGGGGGGGCGTGGGTTTGTTGATGTTGACTGGTAAAGGTGTATGCTAACGAACGGTCAGGAACAACGCGATCACTACTTCGGGCGTCTGTTTGGCGCGGAGGCCATCATCAAATCCGGCATCCTTTTTGGGGGCGGGGCTGCTGCTGCTGCACCCGCGGAGTGGACCCGGCTGCTGGACCGCGTGTTCGAGCTGGCGAAGAAGA